ATGTTACACACAGCTGAGCAAGACAGAGACCCACTGCTACAGGCTCCTGAAGCTCAGTGGTGTCTCATGGCTGCAGCACCATCAACACTCAATGCAGCCTGGCTGCCCACCCTGCTTTCACGGCAGGCCCCAGCGCATTAGCTCACAAGCTCCCACTCAAAGTAGCACCAACATGTACTTTGCTTTCCTTCTTGGGATCAGCCTTAGCTCTTAATGCTCTGCCACTTCCAAAGTCATATGCTGCTCATGAGGCATGGCAAAGGACCAGCGTGGTTTAATATTCAAGAGAAACTACCAGGTCAAGGTTCTCTGTTTTCCTTCGTTCCGCACAAAGCGGTCTGTGATCAGATCAGGCACGGAGCCATCAGGGTAAGGAACACGGTCGTGCAACATGGTGCACACAGGCTTACTTGCTTTTTCCAGAAAACTGTAACAGAGCCTTTCCCAGCAGTGATGTTCGCAGTGGAAAACCACCCAGGGATTTAACTGCAGGTTAGTTTGTTTTCTCTATGCCTTTATCCCCCCACTATCTGATCACCTTTCAAAGGGAAGCTGCAGCTCAACCCCAAGTTTAACTTCCCAGACCCTGTTGCTAGGTGAAATGTGTGGTCACAAGGCACCAAACAGAATTACTGCCCAACCAGCTCAGCAAGAACCCAAAGGCTAAATTCACATTTGCTGTCCTTGAAACACCCTGGTATTTAAACATCTGTCGAGACCTTCACCCTATCTCCAGCTCCTCCCTGGAAAAACGCTGAATTCAAGGCAAGTGCTAGATTAACCTCCAGAGCCTAACACACACCACAGATAACAGGTCAAAAATTTAATGTTCGTTTCCTTTAGACTTCTATTCAGTTTCCAAATTACATTAATAATTCAGCAACCTCTTAATGTGAGTGTCATTACCCCCAAGATAATCGTTATCTAAAAAGGATTTCTTAGGTTACTTCATTTATCTATATTTTAAATCGACCCAATGAAAAAAGCAGCTGTGCAACAGCCTCAAACCAATGGCAAACAAAGAACCAGTAAACCTCTGAAATCAGTAAGACTGTAGCATCAGAGGAACCACACAAATGAAACCTGACTTAAGGGAAGTGGGAGGGGGGTTTGCAGGCAGTTGAAGCCCTGTCCATTAGCACGAGGTCAGGCTCCCAGGGCAGAACCCACACCCCATTTACCCGTAAGCTCTACAGCCAAGCCTGAGAAGATAGGACTTGCATGGTATTTTACAGCTTCCCTGGGGGAGAGCAAACAACAGAAGCACCAATTTAATGTACTCCACGTGCCCCCAAAATGACAGAAATGAAAGCTAAGTCAGTGTCTTTCTGCACCACGCAGAGACAAAGAAAGTGTTGGTTTGGTTCCTCTCCCAGACGTGCCTCACAGCTGCCACCGAGGCGGGGAAGGTGCTCTGAGGTGCCACCTCATGATAGAGTGCTTCCCATCTCTGCATCTTCCGTTGCTTAATGGCTTGGGGTTTTTTTCTTAGTAACCAAGCTGAGGGGGAAAAAAAAAAAAAAGCAAAGCCTTCCTCCACAGTGATCTCCACCGTGCCTGTTTACAAAAACCAAGAGGCAGCTGTTTATTTGCAGAAAGGGGAGACTGTGCAAGAAGCAATGCAGCAGCAGGGTGAGTTCCACGCCCTGCGTGCAGCACTGTGTGCGGGAGCTGCACAGACACCACTCGCTGCCTCCTCCCGTGCTCTTCCCGAGAGCATCAGCTGTACCACATAAAGCTACATCCACACCCATGTCACAAAAAAGAACAGGCACAGAGAAAAAACCTGAAACTGCTACCTAGCTAACAGAGGTTGGCTCAGAGGAACAAAATTACAGAACTGAAAGGGCAGAGAGCAGTGACTGCCTCACGCGGGCGCTGAGTGAGCGGCCCCCCCAGCCCTCTGAGACCGTGGGACGGACACGGTGGGAGATGGGTGCGGGAGGCAGAGGAGACGAAGATTAGTGATGTGTCCAGGGGCTGCCTCAGACGCAAGGAAAAGGCAGTATCAGACGGAAAGAATCAAAACAACCGTCTTTACACTGCCCTGAGAGAAAAGAGAAAGCAGTTAGTCAGATGAAAGCTTTCTCCTTCTCATTTTATCTGAACTACATCACGCAAACCCAGATCACCGCTCTGCATCACTCATTTCTCTATACAACATTGCAGCTGTTTCTTTTTATTTGGTTCTCCACATTAACCTGTTGCAAAAAGCAGGATTTGAGGGGTTTTTTTAAAAAAAAAAACCTGTTGTGCAGAAAAAGACCCAAATATGCCATTTCACTCCTTTTCCTCCTCAAGGATTGCTGTGCAAGTACTGTTCCCAGCCCCATTGCCTGCCAGCCCCCAGGAGAAGGCAGCTCCCCACCTCAGGGAAGGGATGTCATCCCCACTGCCAGGGACTCGCTCCCCTCCCCTGCTCCAAGGTGGAAGTTGATGGGTTTTTCATTTTTCAAACTCAATTTCTCTCCTTAGTCTCTGTTAGAAACCTTTCAGATGAGGGGCAGATTAACCATCAGCTCTCACCACCAACATCTACAATATTTATCAGCATAGACTTGAACAGTTACAATCTCATTACATTTTGTTCAGGATGATCCTAAACAGTCTTCTTCCAAGTTTCAAGCAGTTCCCATCCCTGCCAAGTCTACCCCATGGGCAGTGATCCAAAACCAGTTCTTGATAGAAACAGGAGTCAAAAATAGATAAAAAGGTGAAGTCAGCAACAGCTTTCAACCTGAAGCCACCCTAGATACAACCAGGTGCTTCTGCACCCCACAACCCACCTACTGTGAAATGGAAGCAGGGGAAGGATTTCTGTACTTCTGCCACTTGCCAGGCTTAGCACCAAGAACAACCCGTTCTGCTGGTCCCATCACCCAGAAATAACCCCCCAGACCATATTTCATCCAAAGAACCACATTTCACATAGTGTAATACCAGCACGGTCTGGCAGTTTGCTGTAAGGGGGCTGTACTAGCAGTAGATACTCATACTCATGGTGTGTTTAGCTCTTCAAGTGTATATAAAGACTGGATTCACCAAAAGTACACCATTCTACCAAAAAAATAACAATCATAAGAGAAGACAGAAGTCAGCATTACCTGGCCTTATCTGGCTACTTTCAAATCACTTGTATGCAAATATTTCTGTGCCTACATGCATGCGTGTAAAGGAGGGGATGATGCTGGTGACAGAAGCTCAGGGCAGCAGAGAGGGTGGCTGCAGCCAGACGCAGGTGTGCAGGACATGGGGGACAGCGAGGCAGCACAACCACGAGGTTAGTCACGTCACGTGTGGATGTCACAACACACACAGGCCTGTGGGATGAGCTCCAGCTTCAGCTCTGCCCCTGCAAAGGGCCACTCACAAGAAATGTGTTTTCTCTTCTTTTACACCCCCACATAGCATGTGAAAATATACCCATTGCCAGAGAACAGTCACATCTTCCCTGCATTTTCTCTGGTGCACACAATTTTCTTCTGTAAACACACAAAGTCTTCATATATGCATACTTAAAAAAAAATTCCTTACTACATGTTAGTTATGCCTCTTCAGATTTAACAAGATTCTAAGCTTCATTTGTGAAAGTGCAAGCCCTCTCAGCTACATTCATGGCACTTGCTATGTTCTATTATTAATGATCAACAGAAGGAAACAAAATGTTTCCCAAACATATTATGCACCTGCAAAACAATAATCAGAAGGTAAAGGTTAAGAACAGCAGTTCAAAAAAACCCCTTCTCAACCTCACAAAAAGTAATGATCTGGCGGGTGATGTCAGAGCAGTCTTAAAATTTTCTCAGACTCTCCAAGAAATCAAATCTGGCACCACAAAAGGTTTTGTGAACGTTTCTCAGAAGTAGCTCTCAGTTCTGGCAAAAACAGTCAGAAAAGAACTTCAAATCCCCCCCCCAAAAGCTAAATTCAGAGGCACATAACCAAAAATTTAGCTCAGAGGCTTCTCTACAAAAGAGGTGACATGCACACACATCCAACAGGCAGAAAGAACACAAAATAAGTTATTTTCCCCAGTTTTAACGATTAGAGGTGCCGACTATAAAAGCAAGCTGTGCACGCCACAACAGACTCCCTAGCAAGACTCTCTACGAAGTTTTGAAGGATCCCTCTCAGCAACCAGTGCTGTTAGATCGTTTTATGCCTAGTGGGAGAAAGCTCTTGTTTAGCATGTTTTGCCTTTCTCGTGATTTATAAAAGAAGCAATTCTTGAGTGTAGCAAACGGCCCATACCCACTTCCTAAGTAAAACAAAACAAACAACTAACCAACCAACCAAACAACAAAAAACAACAAAACCAAACCCAAAGCACAGGTGTTAAAAAAAAAAAAAAAACCCAACCCAACTAGCCCTGGTATCCGAGATAAACCCTTTCCTAT